CACTACAAGAAGTGGTCATCTGCACATCACTTTGTAGCTTATTCCTGGTGGCCCCAGGTAGAACACAGACAGTGGATGATGTTGCCTCAGAGCCAGCGCACCCAGTGGACAGCTTCAGACCACGTTGAAGCACCACCACCAAACCACCTCCACAAGTGAGAAACTCAAGGAGTGGACTCAGGGGGTACCAGAGCCCTGCTGAAGTAAGTCTTGCTCTCTGTGGTGGACCCCTGCACAGCAGATCATCCAAGGTAGTCAGAGGTTGATGGTCAGTGGGCATAGCCAGTCCTTGCAGCTGATCAGCCTGAGTAAAACCTTCCCATTGATGTGCCAACAACAATTAAGACTCAATTACAATGGAAGGGTGTAAAGTCCACACGAGGGGTGCACCTCAAGGGCCTAGCTGGGTGATCAGGAAGGCTTGCTTTTGGACCTTACAGGCCAGCCTAAGAAGCCTAGGAGACATAGTAATTCTACTCAATACATGGAAACAAACACAGGGAAGCAGCCAAAATGAGGAGACAAAGAAACAGGTCCCAAATGAAAGAACAGAACAAAACTCCAGGAAAAGAACTAAATGAAATGGAGATGAGCAATCTAACAGATGCAGAGTTCAAAACACTGCTTATAAGGATGCTCAATGAACTTGTGAGGGTCTCAAGAGCATAATAAAGGACCAGTCAGAAATGAAGGATGCACTAACTGAAATAAAGAATAATTTACAGGGAATCAATAGTAGAGTAGGTGAAGCCAAGAAGCAAAGCATCGATTTGGAATATAAGGAAGCAAAAAACATCCAATCAGAACAGCAAAAAGAGAAAAGAATTCAAAAAAATGAAGATAGTATACGGAGCTTGTGGGACAACTTCTAGGATACCAACATTCACATCATGGGAGTGCCAGAAGAAGAGAGAGGGCAAGAAATTGAAAACCTATTTGAAAAAATAATGACAGAAAACTTTCCTAACTTGGTGAAGAAAATAGATATACAAGTCCAGGTAGCACAGAGAGTCCCGAACAAGATGAACCCAAAGAGATCCACACCAAGACATATCATCATCAAAATGCCAAAGGTTAAAGACAAAGAGAGAATCTTAAATGCAGCAAGAGAAAAGCAGTTAGTTACCTACAACGGAGCTCCCATAAGGCTGTCAGCCGATTTCTTAAAAGAAACTTTGCAGGCCAGGAAGGAGTGGCAAAAAATATTTAAAGTGATGAAAAGCAAGGACCTACAACCAAGATTACTCTATCCTGCAAAGCTGTCATTTAGAATCAATGGCCATATAAAGAGTGTCCCAGACAAGAAAAAGCTAAAGGAGTTCATCACCACCAAACCTGTATTATATGAAATGTTGATGGGTCTTCTTGAAGACGATAAAAAAAAATATATGAACAATAAAATGGCAATAAATGCATATCTATTCAACGATTGAATCTACTAACAAAATGAGCAAGCAGAACAGAAACAGACTCATAGACACAGAGAACTTTTTATTGGTTGCCAGATGGGAGGGGAGTTGGGTGAAAAAGACGAAGGGATTATGAAGTACAAATTGATTGTTACACAGATGAACCTCAAAGGGAAGGGGGGAGGTGGGGCAGGAAGAGAGAAACTAAAGAACTTATATGCATATATGCATAACCATAGACACAGACGATAGTGTGGGGAAAGTGGGGTGTGGGGGAATTGGGGAGGAGAGGGTCAAGGGGGAAAAAAAGAGGGACATCTGTAATACATTCAACAATAAAGATGTTTTTTTGTTTTTGTTCTTTTTTACATTTTTTTCTTTTTTTTTTATCCTTACCTGAAGACATCTTTGCATTTATCTTCAGACAGAGAGGGGGGAAGAGAGAAAGAAACATCGATGCAAAGAGACACATCGAGTGATCGCCACCCACACAACCCTAACCAGGCCAGGACAAACTGCAACCGAGGTACGTGCCCCTAGCAGGAACCGAACCCAGGACTCCGGTCTGCAGGCCGACGCTCCAACCACTGAGCCAAACCGGCCAGAGCAATAAAGATAAGTTTAAAAAAAAAAAAAGAAATGGTTTCTGCCCTGGCTAGTGTGACTCAGTTGGTTGACCACCATACCATGCACTGAAAGGTCACTGGTTTGATTCCTGGAATTTGATCCCGGGTACAGTTGCATATGGGAGGTAACCAGTTGATGTTTCTCTCTCTCTCTCTTCTCCTTTTCTCTCTCTCTAAAATCAATAATAACATTTTTTAATTGGGAAAAAAAAAGAAAAGAAGTGGTTTTGGAAAACTGAATTTCCACATGCAAAAGAATGAAGTTAGGCCTTTACCTTATACCATATACAAATATTAACTCAAAATAGATTAAAATCTAAACATGACCTGAAACTACAAAATTTCTATAAGAAAACAGGGAGAAATCTTTATGACATTGTAATTGGCAAGCGGATTACTTAAATAGATAAATGGGACTACATCAAACTAAAGCAAAAATAGACAAATGGGACTACATCAAACTTTTGTGGAGCAAAGAAAACAACAGAGTGAAATGGTAACCTATAGAATGAGAGAAAATATGTGCAAACCATATATCAGATAAAGGGTTAATATCAAAAATATGCAGATAACTCCTACAAATCAATAACAAAATAAAAACAAAAACAAAAAATAACCCAGTAACCCAGAGAAAAATGGACAAAGAACTTGAATAAACATTTCTCCAAAGTACATATACAAATGGTCAACAAGCACATGAAAAAATGCTCAATGTTACTAATTATCAGAAAAACACAAAACACCACAAGGTAGCATCTCACTCATTAGGATGGCCACCATAAAAAAAAAAAAAAACAGAAATTAAGAAGTGTTGGCAAGAATGTGGAGGAGTTGAAACCCTTGTGCACTGTTGTTAGCAATGTAAAATGATGCAGCCACTATAAAAAAACAGTATAGAAGTACTTCAAAAATTTAAAAATATAACTACCATATGACCATGCAATTCCACTTCTGGGTACATATACAAATGAAAACAGGATCTCAAAGAGATATTAACACTCCCATGTTTGTTGCAGCCAAGATGTAGAAACAACCGAAATGTCCGTGGACAGATTAATGGATTAAGAAAATGTATACACATAGAATGGAATATTATTCAGCCTTTTAAAAAAAATCTAGCCCTGGCCGGTTTGGCTCAGCGGTTGGAGCGTCGGCCTGCAGACCAGAGTCCTGGGTTTGGTTCCCGCTAGGGGCACGTACCAAAAAAAAAAGTAAAAAGAAAATCTGTCATATGCCACAATATTGACAAATCCTGAGATTAAGCTAAGTGAAATAAGCCAGTCACAGGACACATACAGCATGATTCCACTTACATAAAGTATCTAAAGTAATTAAATTCACAGAAGCAGAAAGTAGGATGGTGATTACCAGGGACTAGTGGGAGGAGAAATGGGGAGTTGTTGTTCAATAGGTAGTTTCAGTCATGCAAGATGAAAAAGTTCTAGAGATCAGCTGTACAATACTGTGCATACAGTTAAAACTGTAATGTACACTTAAAATGTGTTGAGTGTAAATTTGTGATGTGTTTTGGGTTTTTTTGTTTTTAATTTTTTTTTATTGATTTTAGAGAGAGGAAAGGAGAAAGAGAGATGGAAACATCGATGAGAGAGAACATCGACTGGCCGCCTCCTGCATGGCCCTCACTGGGGATCGGGCCCACAACCTGAGCACGTGCCCTGACCAGGAATCAAACCGGTGACCTCTTGGTACATGGATCAATGCTCAACCACAGAGCCACACTGGCCAGGTAAGTGATGTGTTTTTTTACCACATATATACATATACATATACATGTAAGTATGTATACACACACACACATATATATATGTGTATGTATATGTATATGTATATATAATCTCCCTCCAAAAATGTAAACGAGTTCTTCTTCACCATTCAGTCGAGGCAGCATAGTAACCCCTTCCATCTTCACCTGGGGAAAGGGTTCTGTGAGGGGGTGGGAGACACCAGCCTGCCACTTTGCCTGCAGGCCTGTTCTGAGGCAGGTCCATTTTATTTATTTATTTATTTTTATCCTCACCCGAGGATATTTTTTGATATTTTGTTCAGATAGAGTGGGAGGGGGAGAGAGAGAGAGAAACATCGACGTGAAAGGGACACATCGAGTGGTTGCCACCCACACGACCCAACCAGGGCCAGGGACAAACTGCAACCGAGGTACATGCCCCTTAGCAGGAACCGAACCCTGGTCTCTCTGGACCGCAGGCCGAGGCTCTAACCGCTGAGCCAAACCGGCCAGGGCAGCAGGTCCATTTTAGAAGGTTAAGGATTTACAAATGGATTCTAGTAAAATTGCCTGTGCCTGTGAATCTTTAGAAAAATCTTAAACCTTGGCGTATACTGCCCCGGCTTGAAAGCCACGGGTGCAAGGCCCTGCAGGCTGAATTTCCACCATTGCTCTGCCTTCCCACAGAGCACAGGCCACCGCTCCATGGCAGGGGCTTCATCAGTGCAAGAGCAGGAGAGAAACAGAGAAGCTGGCATGGTCCCTCTGGCAGCTACAAGCTGTAATTTTCTATCCCCCTCCCAGTTCCTCTGGCCTCCCACACTCCTGTCTCCTTGCACCCCTACTTTCCCATCCCACCAAATTCTCTGTGTATTAGAATACTCTGTTGAGCATTCAGGGCCTCAGTGCACATCATGGCTCAAAACTGAGGGTCATGGCTCCTGACTCACAGAATTGCAGTAAGGACTACACGGGACACACCATGTGGCTGGAAGTTGAGTCTGGGCTAGGAGGGCCCAGATGGTGATATGTGGCCTTTGGCCCTTCATGGAGCTGGAGGAAAGGAGCTGCTGGCCCAGGGCTGACAGCACCTGCTGGGATCCAGTTCTACTTCTTTCTTGCTCTGCCAGGGGCCCAGGGTAAAGACCATCAAGCTTGAGGAAATTCCTAAGAGTGGAAAGGTTTTAATGAGCATCACAAAGGGACTGGATGAGGGGGACACAAGTTTCAAATCCAGCCTTTATTGCCATGCTTCAGGAGCTAAGGAGGAGGGAGAAGGCTCAACCCTGCTTATCTCTCCCAGACCCAGAGGCAGCTGGAGGGCAGTCCCTGGAATTCTATTCCCAGCAGAGGGGCTGAGGGGAAGGGGAGAGGTTTCTGCTGCTGATGCCAGGGGCAGGAAGACCTGGAGCAGCGAACTGACCTCCAGAGGTCAAGAGAGACTCAGAATTAGGCAGGAACATCAGATGTTGTGAAAGGGTAGGTGGACTAAGGAAACTCTTGGATCCCCAAACAGCACTAAGATCTCACAGAGGGCCTGGACCCTCAGGGGCTGCTGGCTCCAGGGACTGAGACCCTGAGGGAGGCACCCCCAGACTGAAATGCTCACAAAGAGGCCCCCTCCCCCTCCCCTGTTCAGCAAGGGTCAGCAGAAGGTCTGGAGGGAGAAGTAAGGACAGGGCCTGAGTGGGCAGGAGGCTGAGAAGAGCGTGAGGGGCTGGGCATTGGGGCAGTGCCATGGGGGGACAGTGGGGGTACTTTAGCTACTGCTCTGCTGCTCCTGCTGGCGGATAAGGTTGGCGATGGGACTGGTGATGCCTCCTATCAAGGTCCAGTACTCGTCGAAGCTGATACGTCCATCGTGGTTAGCATCCAGGTTCTGGATGAGCTTGTCAGCAGCTTTTCGGTTTCCTGTGTCCTGGGGAGGAACCCGGGTCAGCAATGTTGTGAGTACCAGCCCCACAGTGCCCCCAGGCAGGAGCCTAGGCAGAGGCCCAGGATCTGGCCTGGGCAGCTGCTGCCCTTGGCAAATAGGAACAGAGTCCTCACTGGCTCAAAGAGGACAGAGCCCTGTGTGGGGTCAAGACCCTGGTTTGGGGGGTAACTCTGAAAAAAACATAAGCTGCAGGGGGGAAGGACACCCTGAGAGGACAGGGCTTTGGGGGCTGGGGAGAGACAAGGCCCTTAGGTGGGAGCCTTACTGTCAGCATGTGGTTGAGCTCTTTCTGAAGCATCTTTCGGAAGCTGCTCTTGCTGATCTTGTTCTTGACCAGGCTGTGCTTAGACACGTATTTGTAGAAGTTTTCCACCAGAACTACAACCGCCTTCTCCAGCTCTGTATAGCAGTCTGCCATCTCTCTGCTTCACTCCTCGAGGGGTCTGGGCACAGGAGAACACAGATGAGAAGAGACCCCACCGGCCAAACCTCCCCCGACACACCCTCCCTGGGCCCTGGTCCTGTCCTCCAGGCTGACAGGTCCTGCTGGAGGAGGAGGCAGGAAATGCGGGCCACAGGGTAGGTGGGGGAAGGGGGATATCCCTGGAATGAGTACTATGTGGCTCTTCTAATCCAGGTGTTCCCCAGCTCAACTGCCTTAACAGGTTCTCCAGGCCCTTCCCCAGCCCCAGGCACTGGGCTTGTCAGAGTCCCAGTGAGAGCAAGAGAAGGCTCCCGTGGGAAGAGTGGAGAGAAGTGCCCATCCCTCCACCCTCTGCACACCTGGCTCACCCAGGTCCCTTGTTCTGGGGACAAACACAGCTAGGAACTGCTAGGATGAGCCAAGAGGGCTGGGGGGCTGGGGGGCAGCAGCCATGGTCCCCTACCAAGACACCAAGATCAGCTGAGACCCCAGCCCCAGGCAACAAAGCTGGAGGCAGAGACCCAGGCCCTCCCCAGTCCCTTCAGCCAGGTTCCAGGAGAGTGCGTCCAGCGTCTCTGACCATGGCTGCTCTGGGAAAGGACAATGTCCTGATTCATTGAGTCAGACATTCTGCAGACTCCCAGCCATACCCTAGTACCCTAGCCTCCCTCATACCCACCCAAAATATACAGCAGGACCCAAGGACCCTTCACCCCGTTACCTAAAGAAGAGCCAGGCCGGGTCTGCTCCAGCTAATGACAGAGCCATAGCCAGCCAGAGGCCACACAGTCACCCCCTCGCCCCAGGACAAAAGACACTCACATTTCCAGCGGATACAGGCTTCTGAATAACAGGATATGAAGGGAACAGGCGGATCTACTCTGTGAGTCGCCGCCCATGCCCAGTGCCCCCCCAAGTGCACCCGGGCAAATGAGCCTCCCTTCACCCCCCCAGGAATGAGCTGCAGCCGCGGTGCCCACGAGGTCCTGGACAGCAAAGGTAAACACAGCCACCATAAGGGCCTGGGCATGCACAGTTCGAGTCCCTGCCCCTGCTACCTGCTCTCTAACCCCCCTGGGGCCATCCTCCTCTGTGCCCACTGCCCTGCCCTCTCTGCCTAGCTAAAGCCTGCCAGAACTGCACCTCCCACGGGAAGCCTGCCCTGACGCCTGTCCTGACCCCTGCCCTCCGTGCCCTCCTCCCCGGCTCCCACAGACTCTCAGTCAGCATTGGCCAGGGCCCACTAACTGGTGTGGCTGCAGCCTTTTACTGGGTTTTATCTCCTCAGACACCAGACATTCCTGGAAACAAGGACAGTGTTTCTAACATGCCGCCATTGTGTATTCTGAACCACACAGAATACAATGAGGCTTTGGGACCATTTTTTTTTTAAATCCTGGGTAGACAAACTTGCTGCTTTTTAAATCTCTGCATCTCTCCTAGCCTGTATTGCAGGGCCCAGTGCTTTGTTCAAGGAAGATGTTCTAGCCCTGGCTGCTTTGGCTCAGCGGTTGGAGTGTCGGCCTGTGGTCCGGAAAGACCCGGGTTCGGTTCCCACTAAGGGCACGTACCTCGGTTGCAGTTTGTCCCCGGCCCTGGTTGGGTCCTGTGGGTGGCAACCACTCAATGTGTCCCTTTTATGTCAATGTTTCTCTCTCTCTCTCTCCCCCTACCACTCTATCTGAACAAAAAATGGAAAAATGTCCTCGGGTAAGGATAAAAAAAAAAAAAAAAGTACATTATATCAGTTGCAGCAACTTGTGGAATATAAACAAAAAAAAGGAAGATGTTCTATAAATGTCCTGCTTCCTTCTAGCCTTGATAACAGGTGGGCAAAGCCCCTGACCACTCTTCTAGTTTGTTGTTTTTTGGTTTATTATTTTTTTTAACCCTCACCCGAGAATATTTTTTTTATTTATCTTCAGATAGAGAGGGAGGGAGGGAGGGTGGTAGGGAGGAAGAGAGAGAAATATAAATGTGAAAGAGACATCAACTGGTTGCCTCCCACATGACCCCAACCAGGGCCAGGGACTGAACCAAAACCAAGGTACGTGCCCTTGACCGGAATAGAACCCACAACTCATTGGTCTGTGGGCCGATGATCTAACCACTGAGCAAAACCAGCCAGGGCTTTTTTTTTGCAAAGCTTTTTTGGAAGAATGAGACTAGGCCAGGATGCAAGATGGAAGAAAAGTTGAGAGGGAGAGGAGTCAGGCTGGGGCATTTCTGACCAAGAATCCTTCCCTTCTCTACCCTGGTATGTGGCCAAAAGGATGAAGTATGGAACCAGCAGTGCAGGATTCTAAAGCTGTACCCATTTCAGCAAGAACTGTGCCAAGTCTACTCCCAACCAAGCTTTGTGAGCATTCAGAGAACACCCCCACCCTTAGCCATCCCAGACCTTGTTCACTGAGTGAGGAATTTTGTGGGAAATAGGAAGAAGAATGAGAAAAAAATACATTTGGGGGGGGGGGGTGGTATCTTGACCCTTTTCCCAAAGCCCACCTACCACCTGTCCTCTTGGGTCTTGTTTCTCTGGCCAGAGGAACCTCCTGCCCTTCTTTGATACCATGCCCCAGTCCCTACTGGGTAACAATCAGCCACCTGCTGTCAGGTGTGCGATCTCCCCAGAGAAGTAGCTTTAGCAGCTCTGGGTTTCAGTTCCCAGACCTCCCAGTAGTCTCTGCCTGCCATCACCACCACCCCACCCACACCTTCTTTTAGTCAAATGGACACCCCTGGAGAAACATCTGAATAAGTGCCTTTCTGAAGGAAGAATGTCAGAGTGCGATAGACAGGTGTCCCTCCCTCCCCTGGGGGCCAGGAGGCAGGCTCTGCCACTATACCCATGTCACAGCCACCTGCTTCTCCTGCCTGCCCATCCTCTCACTAAGGAGGCTGGATGGTCCCAGGCGCAGGATTGGGGTGGGTGGGGAAGGGCAACCTGTTATCCGGTCAGGAGGACTTTGCATTCACTTTGTTACAGGTAGATCCTGGCCTGATAGTTGTGGGGAGGTAGACATGTGCACTGGAGCCTTCCCAAATACTGTGAATGGAGAAACCACTGGTTCTCCAAAGGGCCCCCTCACCTGGGGCCCTCAACCCCCTCCCCCCATTGTTCTCATTGTCTTTTCCTTGGCTGATTTATCACCAAGCAACCAAGAAACCCCCATCCCCACCCCGCTCACCTCAGCCAAGCTTGATGACTTCTCCAAAAGCCCAAATTGCCATACATTATGCCCCTGGGTCTCAGACACTCCAGTCCCACCCTCCTACCCCCAGGTTCTGGGCCTCACTCCTCCGAGTGTCTACTAACCATCTCCCATCTCTTCAACTCTCTAACCTCCTCCAATTTGGAGCCCTGAACATCCATCATACTCTCCAAAATTCACCTTCCCCTCCCATCTCCACACACACTTCTTAAATTATTCCCAGATGTTGGGATATATCCCTGGACTCCTAGTTACCATCGTCTCTAGAGCCTAACCCACTCTCAAGCCTAAATTCAGCGTGCTCTGTGTCCGTTCCACACACCTGACATTTATTCACTCATTTATTCATCATTCATTTGCTTATTCTTTCACTGACTCATTCATTCTCACTCATTCACTCATGCATTTCCTTAATTCACTTCAATATACAGGAAAGGTGAGATCTGAAGGGGGCTGGTAATGCTTCACTCAGTTTACAAGTTCATTTCAGACTAATCTCTTCAGCCTCATAGCCCCAATTCCGTGTTCTGTCTTCTCAGACTTTTCCCAGTTTCGGAGGCTACCTTCTCACCCAAGTGCCCCTGCCTCACCCCTCTCCACCGCCACAGGACTCAGGGCATCTAATTCACACACACATTACAGAGTGAGGAATTCTGTCGTTCCTGACCCCGCGTCTTGGGTAACCTGTCTACCTTCCACCCACTTGTGTTTTCAGAGAATCCAGCTGAAAGAAGAAGCCTGCTCCTCTAAAATTTTTTCCAGACAAGTAAAGTTGGAGGAGTTCAGTGTGCATGGACACACACACACACACACACACACACACACACACACGCTGCTGCCCCAGGCTTCATCAACACCCAGAGAGTTCTACTCTTGTGTGGGGAAAAGCTGAGCCCCACTCGTCAGCAGCTCCAGTGCTCCCTCCCCCGGCACCCCTGCCCTCACCCCCACCCGGACAGGGCTGGGCAGGGGAATGCTCCCATAGTACAGGTGGCTCAACAAACAAAGCCAGTCAAGCCAGAACCTGCCTCGGTCCTGAGGTGGAGAAGAAGCTGCCCAGACTCCTGGCCCCTCTCCCAGAGTTCCCAGGCTCCCCCTGGATGTCACCCAGGTTCCTCCAGGTCCCATCTGCCCTCCCAAAGAACAGCTCTCAGAGAACAATGGGGCCTGCATCCAGGGACCTTCCCGAGTCCCGAGTCCCGAGGTGGAAAGAAGCCTCCTCACAGCACCTATCTCCTCCCCTCGGACTCTCAGGCTCCCTGGGCCTTCCCTGGTTCTTCCTGGACCCCATTACCTCTCCCAGGATATAGCTCCCAGAGATTAGTGAGGCCTATTTCCAGGGTCTGTCCACCCCAACCCCCACCAGCACGCATTTGCCCTTTATCTGTTAGGAGAGGATCGGATCAGCTGTGGGCAAAGCTCCCAAACACCCTGCCCAGTGGCCCAGGCCCTGGAGAGGGGCCCAGGCAGCTGCTGGACTGGGGACAGGGGTCTCAGCACCCCATTCCTCTCTGAAGGCCTCTCCAGTTCCCAACCCCACCAGACTTCTGCATTCACAAACTAGCCTTTTGGGAAAGTTAAAAGTGTTAAAATCTCCCTGCTCCGTCTCTGACAGGACCCGTCTCCCCAGGCCCCCTTTATTGCCCCTTCTCCTGGCCTCACAAGCCTGTGGGGCCTCTCCGGCAGTCCCAGACCTCCCAGGACGGCCTGGGGTGCTCACCTGCCTCCTCCTCTCCAGCAAGGCTCTGGGGCCTGGGCTCTGGCACTGCCAAGCAGCAACCCTCGCTTAGCCCAGCCAGGACTCCTCCCCGCTGCACTTCCAGAGTGTGTCCCACTCCCTCCTTCCCTGCCTGGTTGAGCTGGCTCAGAGGGGAGGTAGTGACTGAGCTCCCTCTCGACTTGGCCCTGGGGTTGGGCCCTTGTTAAAGGGATACACACCTTTTTTAACACCCTCTGCCCCACCCCAGAAGGAGTGGTGGAAGCTGCCACTCTCCCAACCCCACCCTCCCAGCCCCACAAGGCCTGAACCTACCAGGTGAAGAAAGGAAGGGAAGGACTGTCACCTGCCCTTCTCACCTGGGTCACTGGGACCTTAGTTTCAGGGGCTCCAAACAGACAAGTTCAGTTAGCATTGCAGGCCAGCTTGGCTAGCCACTTTGCCCTTGGGATTTCAGGAGTAGTGTCTGATTTCCGTGTGCTCAAGTCGGAAAGCGGACACTAGGGACCAGACTCTGGCCCCCTGGGCTTCCATCTCTAGGTCAGCCCACCAGGAGCTCTCCGGACCCCCATCCCTGGGACAGCTCATGAGCAGCAGAGAATTCCTATGGAAACACCCTCTCGCCCTTCCCCAAGGTACCCAGGGAAACCGGCCAGTTCCACAACCCTATGAGGAGGCAGCACCTGAAGCCAGAGGGGACCCATTCACCAGCCCAACAGTTGTGACTTCAGCTCACCAGCACTCACTGTGCGAGGCTCTCGGCTAAGTACTTTACATGATGCTTCTAATTATCCTAACAATCCTGTGAGGGAAGTACTATTAATATCTCCATTTTACAGATGAGGAAACTGATACTGAGAGCATGCTTATATTTCCAAAGATTCACATGCAGGCCTCACATTTCCCAGGCTCGTTAGCCAGGCTCCAGGCGTGCACAAGCCTTCCTCTCGTCAGAGGACCAGCGCACGGGCCAGGAGGAGCTCCTCCCTCACAGGGACCAGGTCTTCCTCCTTTGGGGCCTGGTACCATCCTCAACCCAAATCCATGGAATAAAGTGGGTCCCCATTCACTTCTCCTGATAACCACTGCAGCCCCACATGTGCCATGCCACCCGATGCTGCCACTCGCCCCAACCACCCCCCTCCCGTGGACCTTCGAGGAGGGTGTCCAATCAAGACATCTTTCACCCTGGCTGTTGCTCAGTGGTTAGAGCATTGGCCCACAAACTAGAGAGTCATGGGTTTGATTCCAGGTCAAAGGCACCTACCTGGGTTGCATGTTCAATCCCCAGCCCCAGTCGGGGTCACCTGGGAGGCAACCAATAGGTATGTCTTTCACATGATGTTTCTCTCTCTCCCACTCTATCTAAAGATCAATGGAAAAAAATATCCTCGGATAAGGATTTAAAAAAAGGAAAAGACATCTTTCACTTTTTTCATTTTTTTATTTTCAAATGATACAAAACAATCATCATTCTTTAAATGCCCAAGCACCCAGCTGGTTCTCTCACCCCAAGGTCACACCCTCCTTACCCTGTCCCCCACCCTGCTCTCTTACTTCCCTTGCCCTAGCCCAAAGGCAGTCTCGGGAGGAGGCTGGGGAGGAGCTGGAAGCAGGAAGGTATAACATTGGACAGACAGCTAGTTTGGTTGGGGAAGAGATTAGGAAGGGTAGGTTCTTAGAGACCATTTTCAATACCAAATATCCAGCCCTATTCCCAGCCCCTTTCAAATCATTCCCGTAGTCCAGCTCCTCTCTGCCCTGCACCCACTACCAAATGGTGTGGCCCTTACACCGCCACTACTCCTCCACATACATCCCTGGCCCCAACCCGCCCCCTGAACCTCCCTCTGATGGCGATTCCTGGACCCATTAGTTCCTTGGAGCTCCCTCCCGAGGATGAAGTGCGGGGACACCCACCCCTCACCCTCGCAAGGTAAGTGCCATTATGAACCACCGGAACCCTGCAGAGGTGAGACAGGTGTGGGCTGGGGGACAGTAAGGTGATGGTAAAGAGAGCAGTTTTATTTCCAGGCCAACAGTCTCTAAGGCCCCCTTTGCCCAATATCCCCCCAAGAATCCCAGGGGAAAGTTCTCAGCTCCCCTGGACAGGGCTCTCCAGCTTCACGCTCTTGGCTGCTTCTCCAATCAGTTCCCAGAAACTCCCAAACTCCAGTTTAGAGTTGTTACAGCTGCCCAGATTGGCGATTCTCTCTTCCAGCCCACAGTTGCTCTGAGAGGAGGAAAGACAACAGCTCAGCAAGGAAGCACCTTCCAATCTTCCCACCCGCCCGGCCCGGGGCCCAAAGCAGGACCCTAGCACTGGCAAGGGGGAAGGGCTAGGGGTTGCTAGTGCCAGGGGCTTTTGTGTGGGTGACACCTTTGGAGCATTTGCTTGAGAAGCAGTGTTCTGCCTGGTGTGGGGTCACCCCGTCAGTACCGGCATAAGGTGAGGCAGCTGCTGGGTCACCAGGTCCTGTAGTTCAGAGGGGGTCAGCGTCTCCTTCCCACCTTCCACTGAGTACTGGTGGAAGTTCTTGATGAGGGTCTCAATGGCCCTCTCCACATCACTGAACTCCTGGGCATCCTGAGGGCAAGGGACATCACCCACATCAGGGAGGCTCCACCCCACCCTACAACACCCTGCTTTCCCCAGGAACCTAGCCAGGCCAACAGGGCAGAAGACAGCTGGAAGGCACACAGACTCCCGCCCACTCCAGAGCCCAGCATCCAGCCCTCGGCCCCACTGGCCTCTGCCCTGAACCACAGGTTGGACAAGGCTTCTTCCCCACCACCTACAGTCGCCCCCCCCCCCCCCGCCCCACGCAGGGCAGGTCTCAGCACGTGGCCCAGACATCTTCTTCTTGGGAGAACTCCATCTATATCACCTTGTGTGGGCACCAGAAAGGGGTTCAGGTCTCATAGCCTGGTCTGGAGGGTAGGCCAAGGCAAAGGTGAAGGGGCAGAAGTCAGTGGGGGAACACAGACCCTCAGGGTAAAGGAGAGGCATGTGGGAACAGAAAGACAGGCTAGGAATAAATGGGCCCACCTCGGCATTGGCTGACCGACACTGTCCCATAGTGCCTGGTGTGCTTGTCCTTTGGTGAGAGTGTTCTACAGCCTGCCCCGGAGGAGCCAATGGCTCATGATCCGCCTAGAGGTGAGAGGAGATCCCAGAGTTCCTTTTTGAACTACCCCCTTTGGCTCAACCCCAGATATTCTGGCTTCATCTAGGGGGTCAGGGTCAATTCCACCCAAGGCCCCATCCCCACCCAGGCTCCAAGATAACCCCCAGGCCAACCCATTTAGAGGGAATCCCTCGGGCCCTATTTTAGCTTCACTCCTTCCTCTTCCTCCAACCACCCATTTCTGTTCCAGACACACACACCAGCCTCCAGGGCCTGGCTACCCAGCCCTTTCCCTGGCAGACTAGAGTAGGATAGGCTAAGCATGCCTTCTGGACAGAGGGTAGCCCATTTTGAGTGAAAAGCCTTGGGTCTCCTTACCTGCTGACAGCCTCTGAGACAGGACAGGATGAGCCAGCTCACCTGAGCTCAGCTCTTATACCTGGGGGAAGGGAGGGGAGGCAGGGGCTGGGCCTCATCCCTAAGCCACCCTGCTATTGCAGTAGTCTGGGCTGTGAGCCAGCTGTGTGGGCCCCACCCTCCGTTGGCCAGAGCTCCAGAGCCTGCCCCCATCTCTGCCAAGAGGGGGGAGCCATGGAGGGCTGGGTCTGAGATGCCCCTGCCCCCAGACCAGGAGGCAGAATCCAGGGGAAAGATAGAGGAGAAGAAATAGGAAAGGAAGAGAAGGAGGATTTGGAAACTGTAGGGTTAAGCTTGGGAGGAAAGGCCTGGAAGAATTGTAGGGGGGAAGTGAAGGGCCCTGAGTTAATAACCAGGAGAAGCAGAGGCTGTTCAAAGCAGGGTTTGTGGCACAAAGGGAATGAGGAACACATGGACTGAGAGAGGTCTTCAGGGACCTCTCTGTACTTTGATGTCACACACACACGGGCCAATTTGGAGACCCCAGCCTTCCTCAGTCCTGATGGCAGAGAGATGAATGAGGACTGGATCAGGAAGAAAGAGCCAGAGAGGGGCAGCCTGGTAAAGGGGCCAGACTGGGTGCTCTCCTGACTTCCCTTCAGCTCCCTTCAACCAGTGTGCACATGTGCAAGGCCCAAATGAGTTATCTGGCAGCTGATGACCTCTCCAAACTGGTTGGGCTGCCTGCTCCTCCCTTCCTCATGCCTTCCCTAACCCAGCCGCTCCACAGCAACCCCCCCAGACACACACTCTAGTACCCAGGATGACATCCCAGAGAGCAGATCCAGGGACTCAGCCCAACCCCTGTGGCTCTCCTCACCTGAGGGGCAGGAGGAAGGGAGAAGGGCACAAAGTCAGGGCAAGGATGGGGTGCGGTCAAATCTCCTGAGCTCCTTTCCTAAACTCTGAGATCAAAGTATACATACCTCCTGTTAAAAAATAATAATGACGTAAATGGAGCCACTTTAAAATGGAGTCCAGGGTGCCATCCCAGAGAAACTGCCTTGTTTTTCTCACTCTTCAAACCTTTTTTTTTTTTTTTTATCCTCTTTTTCCATTTTTTTGTACAGATAGAGTGGGAGGGAGAGAGAGAGAGAGAGAGAGAAACATCGACGTGAAAGGGACACATCGAGTGGCTGCCACCCACACGAACCTATCAGGGCCGGGGACAAACTGCAACCGAGGTACATGCCCTTAGCGGGAACCGAACCCAGGTCTCTCCGGACCACAGGCCGATGCTCTAACCGCTGAGCCAAATCGGCCAGGGCTCAAACCTTTTTTTTTTTCATGGAACGCTTCACGAATTTGCGTGTCATCCTTGCGCAGGGGCCCTGCTAATCTTCTCTGTATCGTTCCAATTTTAGTATATGTGCTGCCGAAGCGAGCACTCTTCAAACCTTTTAAAACTGGGCAAAATAACCTTCGGACTGGGTCTAACAGCATTATATCCCCAAGAAAGCAGACTGAGAATTGAAGACATTCCTTAGAATTAGCATCACTATGTTAGCTTATCTGCACCTATCGAAATTCCTTCCTTAGCTTATTAACATCATTAAAAATTCCTTCATCATCTTGGCTAGGTAGCTCAGTAGGTTAGAGTATCCTCCTAATACACGAGGTTGTGGGTTCTATCCCCCATCAGGGCACATACAAGAATCAACCAATGAATGCATAAATAAATCAAACAACAAATGGATTGTTTCTCTCCTGTTCTCTTTAAAATCAATAAAAATAAATAATTCCTTCATTCTCTCCACCTGTAATTATTCCCCTTCCCTTTCTCATAAATACCCGCTGCCTTTGCCTGCCTAAATCAGCGCTTCCAGAAGTTATTCTTTTGGATCTCAAATAAAAGCTTGTTGCCTCACCCTGTCCTTTTATTTTTAGGTGACCACTCCCACTGCCCCTCTAGGCCCCTTCTAGTACTCCCCTGTACTTGTGGCTTCAGTGAAAGGGCTTCTGGCCCTGGCCAGTTTGGCTCAGCGGTTAGAGCGTTGGCCTGCGGTCCTGAGAGACCCGGGTTCAGTTCCTGCTAAGGGCATGTAGCTCGGTTGCAGGTCGTGCGGGTGGCAGCCACTCGATGTGTTCCTTTCACGTCGATGTTTCTCTCTCTCTCTCTCTGTTCCTCTCTCTCCCTCCCACTCTACCTGAGCAAAGAATGGAAAAATGTCCTCGGGTGAGATTTAAAAAAAAAGGAAAAAAGAAAGGCTTCTGTTAAGTGTCTCAATGACGCCCTTCCAAGAGTGTCTCCTTCTGAGAGTTCCTCTGAGAGGTATCATACTGAGGACTCTCTGAAAGCCTCAGTCTAAGGGCTTCTCCAAAAGTGCCTCAGACTGGGGTCCCTCTGAGGAATCTCAGTCTGGGGATCCTTCCTAGGGTCTCTTACTCTGAACAGCCCTGAATGATCCCTGGGAGTCCCAGTCTGGGGCTCCCTCTGAGGTCTCTCAGTCTGGGGGCACTTAGAAGGTCTCAATCTGGGACTCTTTCATAGTGTGAGGCAGGAAGTTATATATTCCTCAGGACCAATAGCTGCCACAAATGGACAGCTGATGATATGCAGTAACAGCCCCTGGAAGTCTTTACCCACTGGGCTGCCCCACCCCTGCTCCCTCTGGTGGTGAGCAGTGCAAGCAGCATGCCCCTCAAGCCAAAGACAGGGAGGGGGGCACCATGGTGCTCTAATGTTCTGCTTCCTGCAGCACCTCCACCACCCTTACCACAGTCCTCAAACCAGAACCTTGTGTCCATCTTCTGCTTCACCCCTGCTCTGGAGGATCGGGGGGAGGAAGGAGGGTCCAGTGTTTCCAAGCCCCCATCCGGAGAGGATGTCAGTTCATCAGACGCTCTGGAATTTCAACCCAGTTCCACCTTTTCATGTCTTCTTAACCTCTCTAATATCTATTTCTTCCTCTTTAATATAGGATTTAAAATAGAACCTACTTCAAAGGGTTGTGAGAATTTAACTAAGATAATGCAAGAAAATGTTTAGCACTATGCCTGGCACATAGCAAGCCCACAGAACAGGTTCACTGCTATCATCATCCAATAACACAAATCCCAGGAATAAGAAAAATGGGAGCCACGACCATTACCCTGAGACCCTGGTAGGATATGAGTCACCTCCCCTGCCCCCAGAAATCTGCCTCTACCTTAGTGTGTGTGTGTGTGTGTGTACATATATTATATTTATATATATATATATATATATATATATATATATATATATATTCACCAACCATTTATTTGTTGCACAACCTACCCTGAGCACAAGACTAGGAGCTAAATGTTGAAGAATATTTGAATATTTGAAGATAAATATTTCCTGGTCCTCAAGCTCAGAAATTTTGGACCCGCCCTCAGGTCAGAGCAGAGCTTTCCCACCCCGGCTCAGGAGAAGAAACCGGGATGGGTGTGAATAAAAACCATTCATGTTTCAAGGAGGAGGCTGGTTTTATTTGGGGGTAGTGGAGTTCTGCCTGGCCCTGCCCTGCCCGCCCCATCCTGGCCAACCGACTTTATTTTACTTCTTCTTAATCTCCAGGGCCTTCTCCTTTCTGATCTCCTTGGCCAGCTCCCCAATCAATCTCCAGTACTCATTGAACTTGAGCTCTGAGTCCTGATTCACATCCAAGTTCTTCATCTTCTCATCCAAGGAGCCCACATCCTGAGGAGACACCGAAGGGAAGGGTGGGTTAGATACGAAGGCTCTCAAGGCAGGGAGAGAAGGAAGAACCGCTAGTTGCCATTCCCTTCCCTCAGGGAGCACGAGGACCGCCCATACTTTTGAGACAGGGCTGCAGCCCCAAGTCAGTGCTGCCATCGTGCCCAACTCCAAGGGGCAGCAGCACAGGGAGGTGGGAGACTTGATTCATAGTGTTTGCTGGGGTGTAACTACTCCCACCACAGCAGATTATGAACCACAGACATGTCAATGAACACAGCTGGGAAGAGATGCACACAATGGACCCTCACCTGCAGGTGCAGGTGGGTTCCTGCACACCACTGCTCCAGCCCTGGGCTTTGTCCAAGGACACTCAGGGAGCCCTTGTAGGCATGGACCCACTCTGCCCACCTTCAGAGACTTCTCAGGCCACCCTCCTCCTTCACAGAAAGCTGAAGAAGTTCACAGCTCCTGGCTGCTCATTTGCATAAACCTGATGACTTCTCATTTTCCCATTTTATTCTCTATCCTGGTAGATAGGGGGAATGGCAAAGACACAAGGTATTTGTTTTTCTCGGGGGCCCTTAACAAAGTCTCTCATGACAAGCCTGTGAAATCAAAGGAGACTGTAAGCTAGACCATCATGATCAAAGGATTTGTTGCCAGATAAATAATCACAACTATAAAGTGGATGGTTGAACAATGCATCCCTGTCAAACCAGAGAAGGGTGCCTCAGGGACAGCTCGATGCTAAGCATCTGAACCAGCATTTGGATGAAGGTAGAGAAGACTTGCCTATTCTATAGATGGCACAACGCTAATCCATATAAGAGCTACACAAACCTTTTATAAAGCTATAATCATGCTTAATTGTAGAATACTATCAGCACTGCCAGTGGAAGGCAAAGATGCTCAGTATAACAGTACATTGGGAGGAATAGAAACATAAGATTAGTCAAGAGAGCCCTGGCCAGTTTGGCTCAGCGGTTAGAGCGTCGGCCTGCGGTCCTGAGAGACCCGGGTTCGGTTCCCGCTAAGGGCACGTACTTCGGTTGCAGTTTGTCCCCGGCCCTGGTTGGTCGCGCGGGTGGCAGCCACTCGATGTGTCCCTTCACGTCGATGTTTCTCTCTCTCTCTCCCTTCCTTTCTCTCCCTCCCACTCTATCTGTACAAAAAATGGAAAAAAATATCCTCGGGTGAGGATAAAAAAAAAAAAAAAAAAAAGATTAGTCAAGAGAAAGAAATAAAATGTATTGCACACCTAGAAAAAAAAAAGAGAATGATAATGGCTAACATTTCTACAAGTATAAGCACTTAATAGTGCTGACTGTTCCAAGCATTATGATAAACACATTACATGAGTTGACTTCATTTAATCTTCATAATCTGCTGGAATGAAAGGTTCCATGAGCACAGGGACATCATCCACATTGTTCACCACTGTAATGCCAGTGCCTGGGAGAATGTCTGGCACATGGCAGATGCCTGTTCACCACTGTAACCCAAAGTCTAGAACAGCATCAGGACAGGACAGAGTATTGATTAAATAAATGCCAGACCAATCCAACAAAAAACCAAACAAAACATTTTTATGAGTCCATTTCACAGATGAGAAATTAAGGCTCTGAAAGATTAAATAACTAACCAAGGATGACATGCAAGAACCTGCATTTGAACCTAGATTGTCTGACTCAGAGCTTATACCCTTATTCACTATTCTGTATGTCTCTCCCCACCCCCCTAAAAAAACTATTAGAAATGATAAAGTATCTGATTATAATATAAATACTCAAAAGCCAATACCTTTTAGGTATATAAATGTTAACCAGTTACAAACTATAAAAAAGAAGATCCCATTTAAAAGAGTAAAGAATAAAATAAAGCACTTAACATAAATGTAGAAATCTATCTAGCTTTTGTGAAGAAAACTGAACTAAAGGATATATGCGATATTGTGATTTATAAAAAATATATATTTGGTCATTCAGATGACTGACCATATATAATTCTCATATATACATATGTGGTCTCCCTCCCCAGTTCCTGACTCACAAATCCTAAAACCTATGAAATTTCCTAAGTGTTGAGAGTGACAAAAGTGTACTTGTTATGTTAATGAGGTATGTTCCACGATATCGGAAATTGAGTCTCAGAACATGTATTTAATATAAAAATTTTTTAAAAACCTTGAATAAATATAAAACCATACCTTTCTTTAGAGAGAAAGGCTCAATAGTGCAAAGATGTCAATTTTCCCTAGAATGTATTTACATAATACTAATTAACAATCTACAAGATTCTTTTTTTTTCTTTCTTTTTTTAAAATCCTGACCCAAGGATATGTTTACTGATTTTTTTAGAGAAAGAGGAAGGGAGAGAAAAACATCAATCAATCGGTTGCCTCTTGTATGCGCCTCATTTGGGGATCGAACCCAAAACCTAGGTATGTGCCCTGTCTTGGAATCAAACCTGCTACCTTTCAGCATGCAGAACAAAGCTCCAATCAACTGAGCCACACCGGCCAGGGGTACAGGATTCTTTTTAACATGGCTAACGTTACTAAAATTCTTCTTGAAAAAGAAACATGTGAGATTTGTAAAAATCTGAATAATGAGAACCAATTCTCTCTCTCTCTTTTCCTCTCTCTAAAACAGATATGGGGAAACTCTTTTCTGCCAAGGGTCATTTGGATATTTATAACCTCATTCACAGGCCATACAAAATTATCAACTTAAAATTTAGCCTGCTAGCCTCATGGGTGTGGCTCAGTGGATTGAGCGTTGACGCATGGACTGTGAGGTCCCAGTTCAATTCCTGGTCAGGGCATATGCCCAGGTTGCAGGCTTGATCCCCAGTAGAGGGCATGCAGGAGGCAGCCGATTGATGTGTCTCTCTCATGAATATTTCTATCTCTCCCTTCCTCGCTCTCTCTCTCTCTAAAAAAAAAAAAAAATCAATAAAACTTTTTTTTTAAATTAGCCTGCTATATTTGGTCAGGCTAATTTGGTGAGGTGTGTGATGTTAGCTGGTATTGATTTCGTGGCCCTTATGTGGCTCCCAGGCCGAATGTTCCCCACCCCTGCTCTAAAAAATATCAATAAAAAACGTATCTGCCCTGGCCAGTGTGTCTCAGTGGTCAGAGTGTCGGCCCACAGACCAAAGGGTTTCCGGTTCTATTTCTGGTCAAGAGCACTTACCTGGGTTACAGGTTCAATCCATGGCCCAGGTCCAGGCACATGCAGAAAGCAACCAATCGATGTGTTTCTCTCACATCAATGTTTCTCTCTCTCTCTCTCTCCCTCTCCCTCCCTTCCTTCCACTCTCTCTAAAAATCAATGGAAAAAATATCCCTGGGTGAGGATTAACCAAAAAAACAAACAAACAAAATCCTCAAGTGAGGATTTAGAAAGAGAGAGAATCAACTATTAAGTTATTAAAGCATATTATAAAATTACAATAAACAACCCTGGCCCATGTGGCTCAGTTGGTTGGAGCATTGTCCCATATACTGAAAGGTTGCAGGTTCGACTAATCCCTGGTTGAGGTGCATACGGGAGGCAACAGACCAATGTCTCTCTCACACTGATGTTTCTCTCTCTCTCTCTCTCTCTCTCTCTCTCTCTCTCTCTCCCCCTCTCCTTTCCTCACTCTCTAAAATCAATAACATATTCCGAAGTAAGAATTTTAAAAAAATACAGTAAACAATATTGTTACTAAATAAATAATAAACAGATGAATGAAACAGAATAAAGAGACCCAAAATACACATGGAAATTGAATAAATAATAAAGGTGATATTTCACATCAGTAGGGAAATTTTAATAATAAAATTAAGTCTGGGGTTATTTAATATGTTAAATTGGTGAAGAATGTTCTAAGGGTGACATAAAACACAGAAGCCATTCAGGGAAAGTTTGATAATTTGACTACATAAAAAGTTTTTATATTTTGTATGGCAAAAACTACCCAAAATAAAGTCAAAGAACAAAGGGAAAATTGGGGGAAAATATTTGCAACACACCTTATAGACAAAAGCTCATTTCTTCATTCTATAAAGAACTATAATAAATCAATAGGAGCCCAGCCGGTGTGGCTCAGTGGATTGTGTGTTATCCCATGGACTGAGAGGTCCTGGTTCAATTCCCGGTCAGGACACATGCCCAGGTTGTGGGCCAAATCCCCAGTGGGGACATGGAGGAGGTGGCCAATTGATGTTCTTCTCTCTCATTGATGTTTCTCTCTCTCTCTCTCTCTCCTTCTCTCTCTAAAATCAATAAAGAAAAAAAATTTTTTAAATATGAAAAAGAAAAATTCCTTGATAAAAGAAATAAGCAGTTCAGAGAAAAAAAGCAATATATATGTCCATAAAAATATTTTTTAATGTTCTACTTCACTCAGAATTAAAGAAATAGAATAAATCAGAACAAGTACCATTTTCACATATTAGACTGGCAAAAATTAAAAGCTTGGTAACTCTCTCATGGCACCTCAAAAGCAGCCAGTTGCTTCAGGATGAAGCTGAACATCTCTTTCCCAGCCACTGGCTGCCAGAAACTCACTGACGTATATGATGAACGCAAACTTGGTACCTTTTATGAGAAGCGTATGGCCACAGAAGTTGCAGCTGATGCTCTGGGGGAAGAATGGAAGGGTTGCCCTGGCCGGTTTGGCTCAGCGGTTAGAGCGTCGACCTGCGGTCCTGAGAGACCCGGGTTCGGTTCCCGCTAAGGGCACGTACCTCGGTTGCAGTTTGTCCCCGACCCTGGTCGGTCGTGCGGGTGGCAACCACTCGATGTGTCCCTTCACATCGATGTTTCTCTCTCTCTCCCCCTTCCTCTCTCTCCCTCCCACTCTACCTGAACAAAAAATGGAAAAATGTCCTCCGGTGAGGATAAAAAAAAAAAAAAAAGAATGGAAGGGTTATGTGGTTGGAATCAGTGGTGAGAACAACAAACAAGGTTTCTCCAGGAAGCAGAGGGTCTTGCATGGCCTTGTTTGCCTGC